ACAAAGAATTCTAAGAGACAGCGACATTTGAGTTGAGCCTTGCGGGGTGAGAGAAGGTTATCAAAGAAGAAAAAATGGGAAGAAATCAGGCACTAGGCACTTCCAAGTTACCCAGTGAGTGTGCTTTGCTAGAAATTTCTTCTTCGCATCCAGCCAACTTGGTTCTAATACCGTCCTCTGGAGCCACACAGAGCCAGATATTAGATACGTGAAGAGAGCATTCCTGAATATTCCCTCTCCATAAGAAATATCCTTGGTTGTTTCAGACTCTTCTCCTCATAGTAATGATTTCAGAACCCTTCACATCCCTGCATTCCTCTCCCTTGAGCCATTCCACCTGTCACTATCCCTTACAAAGAGTGGGGCTCAGAATAAATCACAGGACTCACAGTCCAACATGGTCACATCCCCTGTCACTTACCCTCACACAGCTAACAAGCAAAGGTCAGAGAGACCTCAGAATGATCTACTGGAAGAAGGAATGCCGAGCTGCAGCCACACAGTATCATCCCCACCTGTCGGAAGCAGTAAATTTCAGATTGCTGGCTTAAAACATTCTTTGGCTCTAGAAATGCCCCTACAGAGGAATAGACAGGTTTGTGCATGCGTTCTTTTTACCGGCTTTGGGTACCCCCTGCTGGTGAAATTGTGTGACCCAAATAGTAAGAGTCCAGGGCAACTAAAGAACAAATTCCAGTCCATAACCCTATGGCCCAAGTCACAAGTACTTGAGTCTTGAAAGATCTGAGGAGTCCATGAGTTATGTGACCATCCCATGTATCATGTGACTAGCTTATGAGGTGTTTTTTTAAAAAACATCCTATAGCTATGGCTATTCTCTGAGCTCTGAGGGAAAAAATTTTGACTCCTGTGAACATGCCATTAATTCTGCAAACATCCCAAAAGTTCTGAGATAACCACGGGAAGGAAATGGTATGTCCATTAGCCAAAACTATTCGTAAGTAGAAATATTCCCATCCACAAACTAATTTCATGCAGGCTTTCCTCCCTCTTTTTAAAAAGTGGTTATCATTTGCAATCAGAATAGGATGACAATCTTTTCTGCACTTCAAATTGTAGACTTAAATGTGAACTTTGAAATATCTACCACAAATTTATTGAGCCCTGGCTGCACCAGACACTCATGAAGAAACTGGAGTAGGTGCAAGAAGCCAACAGCCCTTCACCCAAGAGGTTCTTGCCCTAGTGGGTGGGAGAGTGAGTCACTTCAATTGAACTAGACAGGTGCTTAGCTGACATGGCCACAGGGCCTGCCTTGATCTCCTGGCAGGGTTCAAACCAGCTATTAGCACTCTCGTAGTTCCACGTATTTTTCTTCTTGCGCTTTCATCACCTTTGTGATTTTATATTTACTTTTCTATTCATCTGCTTAGTGCCTGTCTTTGCCATGACTCTCTGTGTTTTATGAAAGTAAAGGTCACATCTGGTTTGTCGCTATACTCTTGTTACTCTATTAGAGATTGGTATGTGTAGGTGCTCAATAAATATCTGTCCAATGAATGAGTCAACCAAAAATAGAAAACCACAGATCCCTTTAGAGGAACAAGCGGAAGTCTCAACGGAGATGTAACATCTGAACGCCACTGAGCCTTGAAGGATGACGAGGAGGAGGCCAGCAGAGAAGAATGGGGACACATTGAGGAACACAGAGTACTGAGGAATGTTTTGGGGGAGGGACATGAAGAACCGGTTTCCCAAAAAGGAAACATATGTGGAAGATAAGGCTGAGTTGAAACACGAAGCTTATGAAAGTCGGAGGGTCTTTTATACTATATTCACAGGCTCGGATTTTCCCTTATCTTAAGGAAAAAAGAGAGAGAGTAGCAATTAACCCTATGACTCTGCGAAGCAATGTGATTTTTCCTATAATTTTGAGAAGGTTTAATACTTAAATTCTGAATTCTGATAAATATCTTTCAGTTGTGGTTTTGTGTTTTATCTCCTTCTACATCTCCATTTCCACTTTGTAGCTATGTTTACCTGCTGCTGAAACACCTGTCTATACATTTTTAAGTTTTAATGTAGTGTCGTCATCACCTTGAACATAAGGATCAGCCATGGGCTAAATACTAAGGATGAGATACACTGGAGTTTTTATAACTCAGTTAGTTGTCCAATTTTTAAATATCTCTACATCTTGGAGAGTCTCAATTTTTCATTTATTTATCTAGGTGTTCAGAGCCACCCAAACATTTCTATAAAATGCCATTTTTCATGGATGTAGTGAGGCCTTTTTGTTGTTGTCTTATTGTGCCTTGGGAAACCAATGATTTGTGCCTAACTCTCTCCATATTATTTTACCCTGAGTGGAATGAGTGTGGTTGGGCGTTCTGCCCCCAAGCAAATATCAAAGCCTCCAATGCATGCTCATTTATAATTTTAAAGTTAATTCTCTTATTGGATTTCCTTTTATTTCCTGCTGTGGCAGTGTGTGCAGAATGAGGGTAAAGGCAGAGGATTTGCTGTATATCTTTTCAAATTTATGATTAAGAATGTCACATATACATTTTTAAACATACTCCTTTTTGATAATAAATGAAGAATAAAACTTCAAAATGTCATCCATAGCAGACTTAGCCATCTTTCTTTCATTGGCATTCCCCTTGCCCCGTCTGACTGCCTGCTGATGGTGAGAAAAGGCCCAACTGATCTAATGCTTCGTTTCTTCTTTGTCTATGTGCCTGGAATAATTTTCGCCAGTAGAACAGTATGCACGTGCCAAAGCATTACAACCAAAAGATGCATTCCTAGTCCTGAGTGCCCTCTTTCCCCAGGCCAGTGGGTCCAAACGGAAGATGAGGAATCCCATCTTAGGGTATCTGTATCTTCAAATTGTGGCTGGACTGAGGGAAGTCAGGGCTCTTCTCTCCTTCGGGGGGCGTTCCTGGATCCAGGTGTGCCCTCCATGCCTGGCCACTCTGCTCTCTGCTGACAGAGCAAGGCTCACGTAGACTCCATGCCTCTGGCTTCCAGCTGGGGTTCAGCTAATGAGAGCCACTGAAGAAGATGAGGCAGAGGAGGGGGAGGTGTAGTCAGGGCCTTTATCACTCTGGTCCCCTCCCCTATCCAGCACTGGCTGGGTCCCTCCAGAGAAAGCCACGGCTTCTGTGCAGGGGGCCTCCTGGTCATGATTCTCTCCTTTCCACCTCCCATGACTCTCCCTGCTGCTTCCCTCCTGAACGCACAGGTGGTGAGCTGCTCTCTTGTCCCTGTATTGTACCTTGGGTCCCCCTTCACCCTCACCTTTGCCAGTAGTCCTTGTACACATACACTCTCCTCAAAGTCTCATCTTCTGAGTCTGCCATCTGTCACGGTGCTGTGCAGTCGACACCTAGATCAGGAGAGCCATCCGTGGGAAGGAGGATCCTCTCCTACTAGCAAACTGGAGTTGATCCTAGATGAACTCCTCTAAAATAATTCCGAGTCTCAGTTTATCCTTTCATCGAATACCTTCTCTGACCGGGAGATCATTACCCCTTGAAACAGCCTGTTTCAATGTCAGGTGCGCTCAGCTTTGGAAAATGATTTCCTGCACGGTGTCAGTTTTGACCTCTCTGGGACATCTGTCCTTTCCATGTTGGGATAGTAGTGACCGAGATTGAATTTGAAGCGAAATCCTGTGAAAAATGGAGCAAGAGACCCGGAAAAATTTACCTAAGGGCAACCCATCGTCTTCCATTTCACAGGAACATAATAATTATATTTAGATGCATAAATGTTGGGAAAATTCAGAGGGACCATACTGGTTCTTGAGAAATATGTGAAGAAATGTCATATGCAAGTGGGATTAGTCATATTTTTATACATCTGATGATAGATCTAAGACTAGTCAGCTAACATTTAAGGAAAGTAGATTTCAAATCTATGTGAAGAAGAACCTTTTAACTGTTTCACTCCCCTGTTTCAAAGGTCTCCATCGCTTGGTATAATCTAAGGAATTTCACAGTGAGGCTGTTGCAGGGGGATTTGGACATTGGAATGTAGTTGGACCAGTGGTGATGATATAAAAACAAGAATAGCAGCTCCCATGTGTTGTGTGTTCACTGTGTGCCAGGCACTGTGCTCTGTACGCTTCACACACATTATCTCATTGAACCCCCACAACCCTATGAGGTCAATCCTCTTATCTGCTGCAGTATACAGAGTAAGGGTTCAGAGCTCAGAGAGGTTAAGGAAGTTACCCGGGGTCATGCAGCCAGCAGTGGCAGAAGTGGGATATGAACCCAGGTCTGCCTGACACCAAAGCTGATAGTTTTAACCCCCAATGCATGGTGTCTGAATAATCTGGGTATCTTGGAGGCTGTGCAAAGGTCCAGACCCTGTCCTACCTCCATGAGCCTGGGCCTCGGTGTGTTCTGTTCAGCTCTCCACATGATTCTAATTTATACCAGAGTTTGAGAACTGCTGCTCTAAATTAGTATTCTTATAAATGCCCCTCAGTTCTGAGAGTCTGTTATTCCTGTGGGAATATCTACACATCCAGTTCAGCTTTACCTTTTCTCCTTCTGAGCTATAAGACTAACCTGTACCCTTACCCACCACCAACCACCAGCCCTTGTTTCAATCAGCCCTTGTTTTTTGGGTTATTTCATGAGCTCAGCTCCTGAGAAAGGCCATCCTTCATTTGGAATCTCATTGAAATCCATGGGAACAGAAAAATCAATCTGGCCTCCTCCTCCCTTTGCAAAGAGAATAAGGAAAGCATCATGCAAGTCTTCGTGATTCCCCATGTTAAGCCAAGCAAGGAACACACACACCCATTGTCGAGATGAAGCAGGATGAGTCTCGTATGTCTGAGTGAGCGGAGTAACGGTTTCAGGAGGCTTAGGTTTATTCCGCCTTGATCCTATTTTTGGGCAATGAACCAGGTTTGGGGGTTGAGGACGTTGGTTGGGAAAGGGAGCACTCTCGTCTTCCCAACGCTTTGATCCAACTGGCACCATCTGACTGTGATTTTTCCCCTTGCACATGTCCCAAAGGAAGCTGGCCAAGAAGCAGAAGGAGACGCAGAGTGGAGCCCAGCGGGAGATGGGGCCTGTAGCCTCAGCCGACAAACCCGCCGCCAAGCTGGGCACCAGCCGCAACGATGAAGGCTTCTCCGCTAGCTCCCAGGACGTTAACGGATTCAGTAAGTTGAGTCAGCTAAGGGGAAGGGGACATCCATGATCTAGCCTAGCCCTGGCACCTCTACGGTGGACCCCTCACAGTGGTCCAGTGCCATGCAGGTAGGACCAGGATGCTTCTCTGCCATGGTCCAGGGCTAAAGACTCTCTCTGGCAAAGACCTGAGGCCAACTGTTCTTGGGTTAAAAGGAGAATTTAAGAACCACCCCAAGGCAGGTGGGAAAGAGTGGCAAGCATCTTAACTCGTTGTGGATATGAATAGAGATAGATTAAGACTAATCATAGTAAAAAAAAAAAAAAAAAGGGAGGAGGAAGATAACATAGTTATGCCCTTAAGGAGAAAAACATGCCATACTGAACTGAATTGTCTTAGGCTTCAAAACGGTGTTTCTTACAAGCCATGTAGGTAAGTCATGGATTATGTCTCTGTTTTGAGCGCTTAGGAAACTGAGCGTTTAAAGTCCTATGGCTGATGAGTAACACATCCAGACCTGGAAGAGTTAATACAGGATCCCACGCCAGTAGACATGGCTCAGGTCTTAGGATTAACCCTCATCCAAAGGAGAACCTCCGGACTGGTAACCCGAAGCTGCCTTGGCGATCGGACTCAAGAGGGGGCTGGCTTTTGTTCTTGTCGTCCTTTAAGCCAGTTCTTTTCCGGATTTAATAGAGATGCTAGATTCCCCAACCTGTGTGCCAGATTGGGGAATTCAGGGAATCTAAAGGAATGTGAGCACAGACAAATGTCCTGCACACACTGTGTCAGTGACAAATGGAAGAATCTGTATTTCATGAAAATTCGGAGGATGGGGACCTATGAGAGGGTGAAGGATCTGAGGGTAACTCGGATCCATGATTCCTAACCTCAAGTACAGCACAGAACCCATCTGGGAAGTTTTCAAAATACGCATTTATCAGCGCCCCACACCTTTCCAACTAAATCAAAATCTCCTGGGGGCTGGGAGATTGGGTGGGGTGTGGATTTTTGTAAAAGCCACTTAGAGGGTTCTTGTGGGCACATAGGAACACTGAATTTTGAGGGAGACAATAGCTGTCTTCAAGTATTGACGTGATACCTCAGGAAAGAGAGATTCTTTTAAACTAATTTTAAAAAGTTAAAAAAAATAGTAAAATGAATACTCCTATATGTAGATTCACTAACTGTTCACATTTTGTGATATTTTGCAATTCTCTCTCTATATATATATATTATTATGTATTTCTGAATCATTTAGAAGATGTCTTCTGAACCATTTAGAAATAAGTTGCAGACATCATGACACTCCGCCTCCAGAGAATTCAGCATGTTTCCTAAGAACTAGGACAGCGCTTCAACATAACCATAATAAAATTGTCTTACCCAAGAAAAATGTAACCTTGTTTCAGTACTATCTAATACACCAATGCATCATTGAATTTCCTCAATGGACCTAAAATTCTTTATTATCATAATTATTTCTTTAATCCAAGATCCAGTCAAGGTGCTCCCCTTTTATTTGGTCATCATGTCTGCTTATCACCTTTCACCTCAAACAGCCCTCCCAACTTTCATTTTTATCTTTCAGGATGCTGACCTTTTAAAATTCTAGACCAGTCATCCCATAGAATGTGCCATGATCTGGATTTCTTTAATTTTCTTCATTACATTCAGGTTATACATGTTGGCAAGAACACTACACCGGTGATGTTACATGCTTCCCTTTTCATCAGATCAATAGACACATGCCATCACTTTGCCCATGGTCAGAGATGCCAGGTGTGAGCACTTCTTAAGGTTGAGTACTGGCTTTTAAAGACAAAGTCTAATGGCACATACTGACTATTGCATTAG